TAAAGACAAAGACAAACCAATTGCGATGAATAATAATGCTTGAAAAAAAAAAAAAAAAGAGTATAAAAAACTATTAGAACTATCAGACAATGTGTAAACAATAATATGTTTTACCGCGTATTCAAAGCGATAAATTCGCTACAATCAACATCAGAAAAAATTAGAAAATGTGTATATAAAAACAATTATCACGGTTAAGTCTTCTATCAATTTTTGTGAAAATTGATCTTAGTGAAAGACAAAGAAAGAATCCTGATCGAATCTGGAATCCAGAAGATACTCTACTTCCATTCGACCGGATCGAAGTTAGAGATGAATGATAGATTCGAATGTTTGAATATTTCGAATCGAATGTAGATGGAGCAAAACAGGTATACACCAAATTCAGTATAGTGATTGAATCATAATTTGCTATGAAATAATAATAATAATAATAATAATAAAGAAGTATAAGCAAAATAAAATATTAAGAATATGTGGAAGACAACTATTGTCAGGCCCTACCGCCCACACTTTATGGACAAAGACCCGTAAGTCTCCAGTCCACCCTTCTTTGTCTCTCTCTTTATCCCAACCGTGCTGGTCGTTGAAGAAAGAATTGTTTCTGAATCAAGAAAGAATTGTTTTTGATGGGGATTTGCTGGGGTTCTTATGAGTCAATTCCATTAACTGCTCCTGCATCAGCACCAGCTCCAGCTTCTTCACAAGCCCCGGATCCAGACGCAGTTGCTACATCCCCTGGACATCTCGTTGAAGGTTGGTTTCTAATGAACCATGACACCATTCTCCTCGTTTTCCTTGAATATTCCCCTTGCATTGGCCTTGTTGAAACAACTATTTGTAACTTCAAAATGTTCTGTTCTTATTTTTACTTTGAACTACGCTGGTATAAACTATATTGGTGCACGGTTTTAATTTCTTATCATTTAAATTACAGTATTGTGTTTTTCGATTCAATTTTGATATGATAATTTTGCTTAAATCAAACATTACATATTCGATTAATAATATTTTGTATAATAATACTTATTGAAATAGTGTTTTTATTTATGCCTCCTCAAAACTGAATCTCAGCTCTGCCCCTGCTTCCTACACTATCATCTGGGGTTTGAATTTATGTGAAGTCTGCAGGATAGAAATTTCTTATGAAATGAGATGTGGATAGGTTGTCTAAGATAAGCTCCAATTAATTAAATTAAATTAAATTATAACCGCAGGCCCAGCTCGGGAAACTGCCTCAGCTACAGATCCATTCCCTGACCCAGACACAGCTCCTACTTCCCCTGGACATCTCAGTGAAGGTTGGTTTCTGAATTCTGACCATAACATTATGCTCTGCTCTTTTGCATTGAATGGTATCTTAGTGCTTAAATGCTACTTAATATTTTCTTATTTTCCAACTTGATTTGTTGATGGACTGTACAATACAGAGATTTGTACAATCTCATTATGTTTAAGCCTTGCAGGGCTTCAATCTTACCATTTGTATAACTTGGACTCAGGTTATATATCTGATTTACTGGTTAGCAATATCTCCGGCAACAGCTGGTTCTCTGTAGCCACCACCAATGTCACAACATGGATGTCTCACGCAAAGGATGCTATTCGGGGTAAATTTGTCTCTGAGGACATTGAATTCCCATTGTTTCCAGATGAAAATTTTGAGTCCCAGTTGAGAGTTTTCACGTTTAAGCAACTGAAGGCAGCAACATTCAATTTTAGAAGTGACATTTTGCTGGGAAAGGGAGGGTTTGGCAGTGTCTACAAGGGTTTGCTCAACCAAAAGGTGCCGATTGAGGGTACTAGGAAACTTCGCATTGCTGTCAAGAAATTGGATTCAAACAGCAAGCAAGGACTTCGACAGTGGCAGGTAATTCTATTTTCCTAAGCCTATGTGAACTTAAAATTTGCTAGATTTCTGCTGATTATGTATACTTATGTATAGATAATTCAATGTTCTTATCGTTTCCTCTTAAGAGAAATTAATTTTTGTCTACAAGTGATTGAAATTTATCGCTACAGACGGAGGTCGGTTTCTTAGCAAGGGTTTCTCACCCTAACATTGTAAAGCTGCTAGGATACTGTCAGGAAAATGGAGATAAAGAGTTGCTTATCGTCTATGAATTCATGGAGAAAGGCAGTTTAAATTACCATTTGTTTGGAAGTAAGAACCTCTAGTCTGCATCTTTTATATCTAATAATTATTGAACAAGTGCATAAGCTATAATTTCATAGATTAAAAACCTCCGTGCAGAGCACTCAGGCGAGCTACTTCCTTGGGAAGTAAGGCTAAAGATCGCTACAGGAATGGCTCAAGCCCTGTCTTGTTTGCACACGATGGACAGGCCAGTAATATTCAGAGACTTTAAGAGCTCAAATATTTTGCTTGGGGAGGTAAAGTTCTGTATAATCTCTGCATTGACAACAGGAAACAGATAAAGATTAAAAGCTTTCATTTATGCAAATATCCTTCTAACGTCTAGGTTTGTGTATGTAGTCCTATACTCCCAAATTGTCAGATTTTGGCTTAGCAACATGGGGACCCAAGGATGGCAGTCAATGTGTAACAGGAAATGTTGTGGGCACACGTGGTTATGTTTGTCCTGAATATAAGGCTGGAGGTAATAGTTTTCTTGTACCTTCTAAACTTAGGATGTCTTGATGATTCAATGATGTTTTACTTCAAAGTCATGACAATGATGTTATGTGGTTGATTAGGACAATTGTATGTAAAGAGCGATGTGTACAGTTTTGGAGTAGTGTTGCTCGAGATCCTGACTGGCTTACGTGCAATTGATAAAAATCGTCCACTTGAGCAGCGAGACCTGACGGAATGGGCTTTACCGCTCCTAGTAAAGAGAAGCTGCTTGAGACAAATAATGGACCGTAGGTTGCAGGGAAGGTTTCCGACCAAACAAGCATCAGAAATAGCTATGCTTGCGTTTAGATGTCTTTACCCGAGTACCACACGCCGGCCATCGATGAAAGAAGTTGCTGACACATTAGAAAGATTAAAACTCCAGACTGAAAATTCAGTACAGCTGAACGAAGACATTTAAAATTGTTCTGCTTGCTTGTTAGATGTCTTTGTACAAGGATGGCAATGTTAAACTGCAGCCACCAAATTTGAATTTGGAAGTACGAATCTAGAACTAGAGCACCACCTTTGAGGATGCTTGTAAGAAAGTGAGTAAGAGTCCATGTAAAAAAGTGATCAGTTGACGAGTTAAGAATAAAAAAACTTATTGCCGTGATTAGGGTGCGATTGGTGTGCGTAAAATATTTTGAGTGAAATCAATCAAATACAAATGGAAAGAATAAGAAGTACTTAGCTCCAATTGAACTTCAGACATGCTAATGCGTATTGTTACGTAAAAGCACAAGAAATTAGGATGGAAAAGTCTTTGATAGTTTCCTCGAAAGTTAGTCCGGTTGGAAAGTTGCGGCTGGAAATTATGAATCAACCAAATGCAAAGGGAAATAATGAAGTACTCTGCTCCTGACTGAACTTTTCATGAAGTATTTTGTCCAGTACCGACTGAATAGGACGGCTGCTTTGTCTCAGTTTGCAATAAATAAATAAATAAATAATAAATTTTGAACAAAAATGCCATATTTGTTTAAAGAACTATTTTGTTTCTCTAAATGTAGTTATTGAATAAAAGCTATTGCCATATTTGTTGTCGGTAATCCTTAGTAACACATGAATCATATTTTTAATTAGGATAAATAAATCAATCATATTTTCATTCCAAGGACTGATTTTCAATTTTCCTTTTGATTTCTTTAAATACTTGTATTTCATCTTAGGCTAAACTGTTCAAAAAATATCCATTAATTTTAAAATTAATGACTAAATAGTACCATTTAGTTACATAAAAAATATTTTTCATTAGTCACAACATCTTCTCTTTGAAATTCCGTTTAGTTTTAAGTTAAAGAAGAAAGGAATAAAAGGTAAAACTGGAAAGAAAAAGAAAAGGGACCTAGAAAGCTGCGTAGGCCCACCAAGTGGGTAGCCTAACAACTAGCCCAACAATTAATGAGCCTGCCCCAAGAGGCCCGCACCTTTTCATCTTCTCCCCCTTGGGCCCTTTCTCCTCATATAAGCAAATGACTCGTCGTTTTTCGCAGGCTTTTTCCTCCGTTTCTTTTTTAGAACTACAATGAATCCTGTGCTGCGGGGAAAATATGGGACCAAACAAGCTTTTTTTTTTTTTTTCCCTCTTTTGGTGATAGCTATGCTTGCTTCTATATATATATATTTGAGGTGGTTTTATAATTAACCAAAACTAAAATGATTACTTTTCAGATTAAATTAATATCAGAATACATTTAACTTTTAGTTAATTACTGAATTGTTTTTTATGTTAAAAATGTGTCCAAACTTTACAATTAACCGAAACTAAATTTATTATTTTTCTAGCTAAATGAGTACCAAAACACATTTAACTTTTAATTTTAATTAATTACTAGACTGCCTTTTATGCTAAACCAACCTTAAAAACGTATGCAAACTAGATATATATATATACACTCAAACCAACTTTAAAATCAATCAAAACTAAATTTTCTACTCTCCAAGCTAAGCTATTGTCAAAATATGTGTAACAGTTAGACGGCTACTAAATTATCTCTTAGGCCAAACCAATCCAAATTTAGGAACACTACTGAATAATTATGGTTAACTATCTATAAATAATATCACAAGATAAACTAAGAAACACTTAACATTCAGCTTAGGCAATGCATGTTATCTTCTTCATTTGTTGACAATTTATTATGAAAAAGCTGAAATAATTCAGCCTTATAAATCCGGTGTAAACTAAATCTGAAACGCTCAAAATAAAAATGGGAAGAAATATGGAGTAGTATGTTTCAAACTGAGCCTTGTTACACAAAGAACAAAGAAAAATTAAGATGATATTCAATAATCTTCCAAGAAATCAGTAACAGATGAAAGTTACTGCTCGAACGAAACATAATTACTAGTATATAGTTTAGTAATCACAATACCGAAACGCAATGGAAGGCACATGTTGGACTTTGTAGTAATCCTCTCCTCCAGGCTCAAGCCTTGTTCTGAATGCCTTAAGCATTGACCGGATCTCCATTTCACGGAGACTGGTAACGAACCTTAGTCCTTCGGGGACCGACTTCAAAGATGTACAATTCGATATCTCTAGATGGAAAAGATTAGCCATGGCTCCTTCCTCAACCTCCCACTCTTCTAGGTTTGGCAAGTCGTAAAGGAACAGATACTTCAGTTGAGGAAAACACCTGTCCGAGCAAACCATTTTGCTCCCAAGAAATGAATCCATTTGCAAGCGCAGAGTTCTCAAGTTTGGCAACTTCTCCAGTGTTGGTATTGGGTCGTCTGTGAGTTTAGATCCCAGCAGGTTCAATTTGGCAAGGTTTCCAGAGAACTGCTGACAGTCTGGCAGCTTCTCTATCTGCCCTTCAATATGCAGCTTATAAAGATTAGGGCATCCTTGTATAACTTGAACGACTGTTGAATCTTCGTTACTTACAAAAGACAGCGACTGCAACCGGTTAAATTTTACACGAGGGGATTTGAAGATTGCCCCAAACATTGGATCATCTATCAATAGTTTCTTAAGATTTAACAATCTTACCAGATCAGTTACATCAGATTTCTCTGAAGGAAAGTTCACAAGTGTCTGCAGGTTGACCAGATTGGCTAATTGCCATTTATCAGAATCTTCACCACAGGACTCAGGAAGATACAGGTGTCTCAACCGTTGCAGTCTCGATATGACGTTAGGAATTTGTACAGTTGAATTCCAAGTCAATAGGTCTAGAGTTTGCAAGTACCTCAAGTTGCCTATTGTAGATGGCAGCTCATCTATATCAGTATCTCTCAAGCTCAAGAATCTCAAGTGGATTAGCTTTCCAATTTCTTTTGGCAATTTTCCACCATGACTCTGAAGTCCTTCGAGATCCAACACTCTGAGTAACCTGAGGTTGTCGAACACAGATTTTATTGATTCCCATTTCTCTACATGCCATGCTTTTTCATGAAAATACAAAAGGGACCTGAGGTGGGAATTTCTTTTGTATCCTGAAGGGATAAATTTATGAAGATCTCCATCGAAAACAACTGCTAGCCTGCGAAGTCTACCCATTGACCTTGCTTCACTCACAAAGTGGTCACTTACATGCGACTGTTTGAAAACCTCAAGAAAATTTTCCTCCTTTGCCTTGGATAAGCATAGGTCTCTCATAAGATCATGCATGCGACAAGTTCTAATCTTTCCTGTTGTGCCCCTCTCTACCACCTGAACCATACACCTCTCGACCAACTCGCCCAAATAACGATGAGCCACATCCTCCATAGTTTCTTCCTCCACTCCATTGTGCACACTTGTTATAAAACCCTCAGCAACCCACATTCGTATGATTTTCTTTGTTGGTATCTCACAATCTTCTGGGAAATGGGCCAGATGAAGAAAGCATGGTTTCAACTGATATGGCAATTCATGATAGCTTAAGGCTAGCACCTCAGTTACTCCTAAGAGCTGTTCGTCGCCTTTGCCTCTCCTCAAGTGGGAAATAATATTTTGCCGAACCACATCCCACTCATAGATAGTCTTCTTATTTGCCAAAAGTCCTCCAAGCACAATGATGGCCAACGGTAGACCTGTACACCTTCCAACCATTTCCCTTCCCAGCCTCTCTATTTCTGCTCTAATTCTAGAGTCTGCAGAAAGAAAAATAAAATTTAGAGCAATGAATGTTCAAGAACACTGGTGCCAATGATAGTGGTAACAGTCTCATTGTTGAAATACCTCTGCAAATCTATGTTTCCGAAGAACAATTTAGCATTTCAGAATCTCATACTTCACAATTAAAGAACAGCCTACTTTAAGAAGGCAGAGAAAAAACATAAACACTCATCAAGCAAAATAGGTTACAAACAAGTTGAATTTCGGCCTACCGAAATCTGGCCATTTTTTACCATGTTTAAACTGTAACTTAATTTGACATTCTCAAGAGTCATCATGACTTTTGACTTAGCATGGATCATCAGCTAACCACAGTTTACCCATTCACTCCTGCCACTGCTTGAAATTGAGAAATAATTTTCATTATCAAATAAGGACCCCTGTGTCCTTATAACATGCTAAACTATCCTAACCAATACACATTACAGCAACTAGAACATGTTAACTAGTTATTTATCAGCAACATCCTTCCTCACATCCGCTCATAGAGATAAACCCATCTCGGGTTTGCTCTGTTCCTTCATATACTCTGTATCTAGACAAACAAACACTAATAAATTATCTGAAATTGGGGAAGTTCTGGTTGCAAAAACATTACCTGGATAATTTTCTTCAATACATGCTTTCTTTTTGAACAATTCCCAGCTCTCTTCATCATTCAACTGGGGTGGAACATGGAGGAAACATGTTGGATCTGGATGCAAAGCCACATCCATTTTGCGAGTGGTGAGCAATATTTTACTGCCTGCAGTTTTCCAATAAGGAAAAGCAGGACACAGATTATTCCAAGTTGGTATGGTCCAAATATCATCAAGAATTACCAAACATTTCTTCTCCAGTAGGACTTGATAAAGCCTCTTCACCAACTCGTCATCCCTCCAACTAGCAATCCCCTCCCTCTGTTCCTTAGAAGGATTAGTGAGCTTAAACAAGATTCCTTCCCAGACCTCCCTTACTTGACATTGTTGAGATACATAAGCCCAAGCGAAAGCCTCAAAATTATGTCTAACCTTACTGCTATGATACACCTTCTTGGCAAGTGTCGTCTTCCCTGACCCTCCCATTCCACAGATGGCTACAATCCCATTACTGTTCACCAATTGCTCTGTCAAAATCTTCGCATCTTCCTCTAACCCAACAATATCCTCTTCAACAATATGTGAGTATGACCTCCTTAACTGCCGCTGTTGCCTCCCTGATGTAGAACTCCAATCACCACTTCTTGGCATTATCCCATTTGTTTCCAAGCTTCTAGTGAGGTTAGAAATCCTGTTCTTGAGAATTTGCATCTCATTTCCAACATTATGAAGCTCTATAGTTTCTTTAGCAAGAGTGGCATACCTCTTCATAACATTCACCATACCCGATCTCCTCCTTAAAGCAATTTTGAGTGCAAACTCTTCGATGATATCTTCAGCATCATAAGCAGTTTCTCTGATTTCAGACACCAAATTTTTAACGGTCTTGTCTTCATCTTGTCTTCTGTCTGCATCTTTCAAAAAAGATTGCATCCTCAGCAGTTCAACTTGCATGCCATAAACCTCCTCGCTCACTCCATCCAAGAAAGCTGCTTCTTGAAGAAGCAAGTCTACAAGCGTTTGCACCACAATCGACACTGCAGACTCAGCCATGCTATGTCTCAAAACACTCCTTACTTCCACCTTAATCAAAGCAAACAAAGAGAATATACAGAAGCTTTTCCTCTGGATTTAAGCTTAACAAGAGGAGAGAGAGAGAGAGAGAGAGAGACCCCAAAAATTATCAGTTGATCCTCTACAAAATTAATCTCTTGGAAAGGAAAGCACTTGAAAAATGGGAAATTGTGGGGAGGGCTGCCTAGCGAGTATACAATAGTTATCTGCAAAAGAGTTCCACAAAGTCTTCTCCTTGAAAAGTCCAAAAGGCGTATACCCCATAATCATGACCGACAAGCCGCCTTGCTGTACCAATTAATTCTTTGATTATGGATGTTATTGCTAGGAAGCAACATAAAATATCAAAAAAATATATAAATTAATTTTTATTTTTTTAAGAAAACCTCTAGAACCAAACTTTATCTTTACCTTTGTAAAAATTAACCCTCTTTAACCCCTACCAAGCTCCCCCTAATACAAAACCTTTTCTCATCATAACTTTTACAAAAGTAAACCTTCTAAAGATTAGCTAAGCACCCAAAGGTCATATTTTTCCACAAATAAAAGGCATTTCAGCAACATTGCTGTTGCAATCTCTTTGGACATGAAAACGTGTTGGCCATCCAGCTGGGAAAACCATTCTAACATACTTTAGACAACTCAAATCTCTCTTACACCAGCTCTTGAGTGAGGACTAAACTATGCTGTACATTTCCTTGGATAATGATAAAGATCAAGGATACTTGCTTTATTCTGGAGCTTGAATTCAGCTTGATCAAGAATGTCTATTATTAGTATAAGTTGCTATTTTTCAGAAATTAACGTGTGTGGTGGTGTTTTTCATTTAATGCTTTTTTTTTTCCTATAAAAAATAAGCCGGATCTGGAAGTGGATAGTGATTCAAAAAGGGTGAATTCCCAAGTGTAAAAGTCTGTCACCATGTAGGATTCTGTATAAGACTTTGCAGTAGATGGGTTCCATTATCCTAGATAAAGGACATGTGTCGAGTTGATTTCTCTGGGATATACCAATTTAGACAACTCAAATCTCTCTTGCATCAGCTCTTGAGCAAGGACTAAACTATGCTATACATAATATTTCCTTGGAGAATTATAAAGATCAAGGATATTTCTTTATCATGGAGCTTGAATTCAGCTTGATTTCTTAGAGTACTCATATCTCAGTAGTAGGAAAATTGCCAAAGATCTTCCTCTATTGAAAGGAGAAATAATTGATGCTAAAATACTTGTTGTACAATTTAGTAATAGCTAATTTACGGTAACTTGCAGTTATTTAGTGCAGTTCATCTTTTTCACAAAAATTACAGAACTCGTAGCAATGAGTTCCCATCATCCCATGGGAATCAATTGCATAACTTGTCACAGGAGGAGTTTGGCAAGGAATAGAGCAAGAAGAATGAAGTTTAGGCTTTGATACTCTTATATTTGCGTGCTTCAACCTGTTCCAATATCTCAGCAAGTTCTTTCATGGACGGCCGGATTTTGGGCTCAGCCTGAAGACATCTGATAGCAAGCTGAGCAACGACTGATGCTTCTTTGAGAGGACATTTTCCTTCCAGCCGCATGTCCACTATTTTTTTTCAACTTTCTCTTGGTTGATAGAAATGGAATTACCCAGCTCCCCATAACTTGTTTATGACTTGTAAGGGTGAGCAAACGGTTCGATTAATCAAAAATCGAATAAAACCGAATTGAATTATAAAATTTGGTTTGGTTTTAAATATAAAATTATACAATATAAAACCGAACCGAAAAAACCGAAATTATTTCGGTTCGGTTTGGTTTTAGAAAAGAAATTTCGGTTTCGACCGAAAACCGAAATAAAAAATAAAAAATTTCCTAATTTCTAAATCCCTAAGTTTTCAATCTTCATTCTTGTTGAAATTGAAACACGTAGATGGGAAGTAAATTTTTCGGACCGTTGGGGTAAGAAAAGAAAGTGACATAGTGTAATTAATTGGGATACGAGTGTGTTTGAATGAGCAAATTTATTACACTTGGACTCGTTTTCATTAAAGCTTAGTTAAAATCTTCAAGGGCTTTGTGATTGTTTATAAAAAAGATTAATTGATAACAAGATGTTACTTCATTGGCTAGTGGACTAAGTGCTAGTAAAAAACATCTCTTTGTAATGATTTTTTTTTTTACAGCAAAATATTTCCTTGGATATTTCTTTATTATGGAGCTTGAATTCATCTTGATTTCTTAGAGTACTCATATCTCAGTAGTAGGAAAATTGCCAAAGATCTTCCTCTATTGAAAGGAGAAATAATTGATGCTAAAATACTTGTTGTACAATTTAGTAATAGCTAATTTACGGTAACTTGCAATTATTTAGTGCAGTTCATCTTTTTCACAAAAATTACAGAACTCGTAGCAATGAGTTCCCATCATCCCATGGGAATCAATTGCATAACTTGTCACAGGAGGAGTTTGGCAAGGAATAGAGCAATAAGAATGAAGTTTAGGCTTTGATACTCTTATACTTGCGTGCTTCAACCTGTTCCAATGTCTCAGCAAGTTCTTTCATGGACGGCCGGATTTTGGGCTCAGCCTGAAGACATCTGATAGCAAGCTGAGCAATGACTGATGCTTCTTTGAGAGGATATTTTCCTTCCAGCCGCATGTCCATTATTTTTTTTCAACTTTCTCTTGGTTGATAGAAATGGAATTACCCAGCTCCCCAGAACTCGTTTCTGACTTGGACGTCTCCTATCGATTGCTCGTAAGCCTGTCAGGATCTCGACCCAAACAATTCCAAAACTGTACACATCACTCTTTGGACTACAATATCCTAATCCATGAGAAAGAAAGTAATGTCAGCTATATGTCACATTGAGCATGCACGTTGGAATCATTAGGAAGAAGAAATTACCTGTGAAGATGGCCTCAGGAGCAGCGTAACCATATGTTCCCATAAAATGTGTTTCCACTTGTGAATCCTCAGCTGAAGGAATCAAAGCTGCCAAGCCAAAGTCCGATGTCTTTGCATTATAGAACTGGATAAAACCAAAGCATAGAAGGGATGTAAATATTTATCCTTTGACAGAATTCTTTGAAAGAGAAACTGTGCTTCTGTTACATAATCTTCAATCCCATGGGACATAGTCAAGAAGTATGTTTGAGGACTTCAAATCTCTGTGAATCACCAATGCCTCAGGACTGTGCATGTAAGCCAGGCCTTGAGCAACTCCTATAGCAATTTTAAATCTTATGTCCCATGGAAGCGGCCGGGCTGACCCCTCTGAATAGCCAAAAAGCAAATCTTAAACAAGATCATAGATGCATGTGTTGGGTGCTGTTGTAAAGCTATGTTAAGAATGAGGATTTTCTTTAAAAATTGGGTTAGTCTATTATAAAATAACTAAACTATTCTTAGGTTTCTTTCAATTGATATATAGTCAAACGAGAATTTTAAGGGGAAAAAAACAACAACTGAAATGGTGGCATCTCATCAACTTATTAACAAATCCTTAATGGAGGGACTAAGATATGAAAGAAGAACTATTGATTATAAAGCACTTTCAACTATTGGTCAACATGACAAAAATTCATGATTTTTTTTTATTTGGATTCCCAACCTTTTTTGTTTTTTTCCCTGCAATTAAGTTTTTTCCTACTATGTTAACTAATCTCAAGCCACATTAGATACATATGAGAGACACACAGAGGCATAAAACAACGATGTGTGTCGTGTGATTAAGACTTTCAGGATATATATTATTATTTTAATAGTTTCATGTATTTTTTATCTTGTTTGAGATTGGTTAATGTAATGGAAGAACTAAATTGCAAATAAATAAAAAGTTGGAACCTAAAGCAGAAACAAAAAAGTTTTGGGATTTTTTTTTTTTCACCAATAGTTAATGGTACTTTATAGTAAATTAGCTTAAAAGAAAATAAAAATATAGGGATGCAATATTGAGTTTTTAAAATCAGAGACTAACTAATTATTTTTCTAAAAAAATAAGGACTAAATAATAATTTATTCAACATGATTAATTCAACGATGTAGGCTCTTACTTCCAAAAAGATGGTAATTGAGGCTTCCATTGGGAAGGAACTCATAGACAAGGAGAAATTGTTTATTCTCATAACAGTATCCCATCAGCTTCACAAGATTAGGATGAGACAGCCTCCCCAAAATATTCACCTCTGCCTGCACCACATATGAGCAACTTATAAGAACAGAATTGCTAAAATCAAGATCTAATCTTTGATGCTATCCTAATCTAACAAAGTTCTTGCTTGATCTTTCACAATCTATTCTAAGCATCATTTTGATGTTGTTAGACTTTTAAATTGCCTTCCATGATCCACCTAACAATGTTCCAGCAATCTAATTCCAGAGCTAAAAAAAAAATTTAAGAGCACAAAAAATTTGAACAAAAAAAGCAGAAGTAGAAGTTTCAAGATTATATGGTGAAGACAAGCCAAACGCACATACCTGCCAATGCTTAAATCCTTGCCTGCTTGCAGTGCCCAACTTCTTGACAGCCATTGCTGACTTCTTTATCCCCATTGATGGCACCTTCTCCTTTTGCCAACCCTTGTACACTTTTCCAAAACCTCCCCTACCCACCACCATATTACTTCCAAAATTATTGGTTGCAGCTACCAATTGATCATATGAGAAAACTTTCAAGTTTGCTCTAGAAATGTTACTGATCCCACCATTTTCAAAATTCTCATCACTACCAGCATCTAGATATTGGCTATCCTCAGGAGTGCCATTGTTCTTGCCCCAGATGCGAGTAAAACTGCCACTTACTTGAGACATCCATGTTGAAATATTGCTGCTTCCAACACTGAGCCAGCTGTTATCACCGTAAGAACAAGTATCACCTGATACAAAGAAAACAACTTAACCCAGAAACTGCTGGTTTTGGAATTGACCATGAAGATAAAACAGGGAAGACTTAAATTTTTTTTTTTTTTTTTACCTATATTGAGATTATCAAGGGTGCTAGGTATTATGGGAAGTGAGTTTGGCTTGTGATCAGGTAAAGAGCTCCAGCAAATTCCCATCACATAGTTCTATGTGCTTCTCTTCCTTTTGCAGTCTGGTGTGGAACCAATAGTCATTGTTGAGCATAGATTTTGACAGAGACATTAGACAAAAAAAAAAAAAACACGGGAGTTTTTTTATTGGTGTTGACTTTGAGAGAATTTGTGTGTGAGAACTGGAAAGCTTCAAACATGGCGGCATTCGGATCCTTTAGAACTTGATTAATCCTATTCGAAATTTCCTGGAAGGATCACTATCATATATTTGCTTTGTCCATAGCATAGTTTTAAATCACAGATGTATTGTAAAAGCAGTCACGATCGCAATTGTGAAAAGCAGCTTATTGCATGTAATAAAATAACGATAATAGAATATAACACCTTATTTATATAAAACATCATTATGCTTCCTAAAACGGCATAGAACGTTAATGGACATGACCAAATCCGTTATATAATGGCTGTTATTTGAAACTACGTTCCATAGGGAATGAAATGTTGTTTGGTTTGGATCAAACCTGGGGAGGGTGAGGAACAGAGTAGTTAGAAAGACAATGTAAACCGCATATTTTATTTGCCTACAAGCGGACACCTGATCAGTGGTTAAAGTAAAACATGGGATCTTTTTAGTAGGGTGGGATGGCACATGTAAATTTTGATTGCCACAGATTTCTCGCAAATGTAAGTATAGATAATTGCAGCTAACGTATTAGGTACTTTTACAAGCACAGTTTACAAAACTCAAAATCAAAATTTAGTAAGAAGGTTACAGGAACTGCACTCATCCTGTGCAAGTCATCCCTCTGACAAAAATTACAGAAGTTGGAAAAAATTTAGGAATTTAAAATTTCCATGGGATTCAATTGCGTGATTTGTCTTTTAAGTGCGAATCTATTCAAGAGCATGGCATTGAACCTTAAGAACATCCATTAGCATGAAGGTCATCGGCATCAGATTACATTGGCAATTGTGGTTGCTGATATTCTCCAACTTTAAGCAACCTGTTTCTGTGAAGTGTTTATATAATACAGAGGAGTTTGATGTGGAAAAGGATGAGCAGAAAGAAGTTTAGGTCCTTCTAGCACTAAATTGCCGTGCTTCAACCTGTTCCAACGTCTCAGCAATTTCTTTCATGGATGGTCGGATTTTGGGTTCACCTTTCAGACACCTGACTGCAAGCTGAGCTATTAGAGAAGCTTCTTTGAGAGGATATTTTCCCTCCAACCGTGTGTCCATTATCTTTTTCAGCTTTCTTTTGTTTGATAGAAATGGTTTTACCCAGTTCAGCAGCACTCGTTGCCCACTTGGACGTTTTCTATCAATTGCTCGTAAACCTGTTAGCATCTCAACCAAAACAACTCCAAAACTGTACACATCGCTCTTTGCATAAAATTGTCCTAATCAATCAGCAACATATTGATGTCAGGCCATACGTTACAAGGACTGCGGAACCTAAGAGACATTAGTAACAAGAAACTACCTGCCGTCATGACCTCAGGCGCAGCATAACCATAAGTCATCACATTTGTTGAAACATGTGAATCCTCATCCGAATGAATCAAAGACGCCAATCCGAAGTCTGATATCTTTGCATTATAGAACTGGAATAAAAACAGAACTTAGAAAGAACATTATAATTTACGGATCCTTTGACAGAACATTCTGAAACAGAAACTTTTTTTTTCACACGTTCTTCAATTACTTGCCCTTCGCCTTTTGCCACTGTTGAGTATAAATACCGGATGGAATGATGTGCTCAAGAACGAAAGGGAGAGGCAGCAGAATAAGAACTTTTTAGACATGAGACATGATGAAATTCTTCAACGGGTTCTAGGTAGCAATCTAAAAATCAGGTGGAACTTTACCTTGTCAAGAAGTATATTTGAGGACTTCAAATCTCTATGAATTACTGATATTTCAGGGCTGTGCATGTAAGCCAGCCCTTGAGCTACTCCTGTAGCAACCTTAAGCCTTATGTCCCATGGAAGTGGTCGAACTGAGCCCTCTGCACAAAAAGAACCATTTAGTGTTAAAGAACTGAGCCCTCGGTACAAGAATCACTAAACCTTATGTGCATCAGACCAAAATGAGCATACATACATACGTTGGCTGTGCATTTGGATATAATAAATGTGGAATAATGAATTTTAGCTCTTACTTCCAAACAAATGGTAATTTAGGCTGCCATTTTGCATGTATTCATAGACAAGGAGAAACTCTTTTTTCTCGTAACAGTATCCCAACAGCTTTACAAGATTGTGATGAGAAAGTTTTCCCAAAGCATTCACCTCTGCCTGCACCATCACATAGGACAACAAATACGAAACATTGCTTAAGAAGCTAATATCGTAACTATGCAGCATGAAATTAAAGTGTTAAAGGAAGGAATAGTTCCCTAGAAATATTCTAAATGAAATCCTCAATTAGCCATGAACACAAGGAAACAACATTTAACAATGACAAAGTTATATGAACACTTCAATAAAAATGAAAGGAAGATGCTACTGAACCAAACAGCTACTGTCAGCTAATGGGCTTCCCGATCTCCTTTTCGTCCCTCATCCCACACATACTCAGTTTCTTGCAATTCTGGATGCAATCATCAGAAAGTTCTTATTTCTTACT